CCGCCCTCCCCCAGCCGGTCCCCTCGGGGACGGGCAAAGCAGCCGCCGGAGGGGAAGCGCCCCGCCGGGGCCACCGAGCCCGCCCTGCTTCTCTCCCTTCTTCCCCGCTCCGCACCGGTGTTGTACACATGCAGCTCATCGGCGATGCCCTCGTTGCCGCCCCCGAAGATGATGACCAGCTCGCGGATTGCCACGGCGCGGTGGCCGTGCCGGGACCGGGGTACCGGCCCCGTGAAAGAAGAAACCCGCCTCCAATTCAGGGCAGCGGCGCCGGCCGCCATTTTATCCGCCCACGCCCACAATGCACCGCGGCGGGGTCCGAGGCAGCTGCTGGGGAGAGTTTGCGGAGGAAGCAGAGCCGCGGGGCGGGGGAGTGCCTGGAACGAGGCTGCGGCTGCAATAATAATAATAATAATAGTAATAATAGTAGTAGTAGTAGTAGTAGTAAAATAATAGTAATAGTAATAATAATAACAACAGCTTACATCCTGTGATGATACCTTTAACACCTTCAAACAACAACATCTGCCTATCCCAGGTCCTTGGGAAAGACTGGATAGGTGGATAGAAATGCCAAATCCAGTCTAAACATCTGGGTAAGTGTGGGACCAACAACAACAACAATAATAATATCCAAGGGTCCCATCCTAACTATTAGCATTGCCACTGAATGCAGTTTTATGAATATGCTTTTTGATAACATGCTAAGAAGATAATGAATGCTTAATCCTACATTCGTTGGGATGTTACCTGAGAGAGGTGTTGGGCCTTGCTGCAGGTAGATATAAGAATATTTTGCAATGGTTGTACCTTAGGGGTAGGGTGTTTAAATACTGAACCAGGAGCCCAGTCTTCTTGAGTACTTGCAGAGTTGCCATTCATCACTTCTTCTGAGTAGGAGCAAAAGGGTTATTCACTTAAAGCTAAACTTGAGATGTAAAGAGTTGTTTGGATTTGTGATTATGACATTGTTTGTGCCAGGCCTTTACCTTAGCCTCTGGTACAAGTAGGGAAGCCCAGCATTAGAACATCGTCCTCCTCATGCAAATAATGGTTGAAAAGGCTCTTAAGAAAGGGCGTGATACAGTTTTCCTGAATACTCCATAAATGGAGATTCTTCTGTACATGGGGATATCAATTCTGGGCTGCGAAAACCCAGACAGTCACCAGAAGGCAGCAGAGTTTTCCAGTGGCTGTGCCATACGTACTACATCAAGTTGTTTCCAGGGTGATTGAGCCCATCTCTGTAAGCAAACCACACCACCCGAAGTCTGCCTGGGCTGCACTCTAAAATCTGTATCTTCTGGCTTTCCCTTAGCATCTGCCTAGGATAGCAGCAGTTCCATGGGTGCTGTGCAGCCTCAGAGGTAACTTAGATGAGCTGGCAGGAAGTCATACCTTGAGGGAGACAGACTTACAGCTCTGGATTGACTTGTCTAAAAAGTGAGGCTCAAAATGCCGCCAGACATACATGCCTGCAGTCCTGTCCAAATAGTGACGGATGCCAGTCAACATCACATGCCTTTAGCTAAAGGTAGACTGTTTCCTGGGAGTGCAACATTGTCAGCTTCTAGGCTCAGTGCTTTCAACAGATGTATCTGGACACTATCCTACAATGCAAGCATTTCTCTAAATATTGTTTAGAGAACGTACCTATGCTAAACATTAGGCTTATTAACAGACTGCATGCAATTGTTGCTGTCCATATAGGGGCTGAATTGATTGAACCAATATTTATGTATTTATTTAAAATGATACAGCTTCCCATTAAACATCTTCAAGCAGCTATTTAAGTTCATTAACATATTTTAATCTTGCATTTCTAAGTTAATGGGCCTACCACAGTGGTCCACAGTCTAAAATCTAACACTTGGTTAATTGTTAAAATCACAGCACAAGAGAATAAATATCTTGAATTGAGCTCAGAAACAAACAGGGAATCATTAATGAGTATATTTTTTAAAAAGATTTTCCCATTCCTTTCTTCAATTGTAATGTTTGTACCTTTTTCAAAGGTAATTCTATGTACAGAATGTCAGAGTAAACTGATCTGGACATGACAAAGCTAGACAAAATTTCTCTTTGTGCAGCATCTCATATCAGATAGTGAAATTAACCAGTGAGTTCAAATCACAATGATAAGCAGAGTTGTACAAATATGTTTATAAGAAAGTACTGTTCAGCATGGAAGTTAGAAAAATATATGGTGGTTCATTTGTGGGAGAGGCTTTATCACACAACTTCCCTAACCCTTTTACTTTCTCATGGAAGTCATGAAGTTTTCCCTTCTAGCTCTGATTCTATTAGAAATTTGTCGGGAATATTTTAATTTGGATTCATGCAGTAAATAGCTGGATCCCTTGGACTAAATGATCCTGCTAACTTAATTCTAATTAAATTTGTTCTTAGGCCACACCTTCTTTAACTGTAGGAGGAGAACTGTGTTAGTCTAGGATGGCAAAACATCAAAAGGAGTTTGGTGGCACTTTTTCCAACTAACAAGCTGCAGCTTATGAAAGTGTATGGCTTTTAATAAAATTTGTCAGTTGGAAAAGGTGCTACCAGACTTTTTTACCTCTCTTTCAATAACCAATGCCTGCTTTGTGACGCAGCCTTTTTCTCCTGCGGCAGCTATCAGTTTGCATTCAAATGGGCAGCATAAACAGTTCGTTTGTTAGGCAGTAAGATAGCAGTTTTTGTCATGGGGATGTGCAACAACTTTTTTTTTTAAATGTTATTTCCACGAAGGGGGATGATCACCTAAGATGAGGGAGGGACATGGGGCATCTTCAAGGGGAAAGAAAAAAAGTCAAGATGGTGGTTGTGATTATACAATCAAATCTCTTTTTTAGGTGCATCATGCAACACGTGTAAAAAGGGCCTGGACTGACACACCGCCTCCCCCCATGGATGCCCCTGAGAGCTTCCCACTGATAATACATTGTACTTCAGCTCTCAGGTTTAATTTCCTCTTGAAATATCCACAGGGCAGAGATGAAATATATTCCTTATGACTTTTGTGCAACTATATTTTAACATTGTATGGTGAACCTTGCATTGTATCTTCCAAAAGGTACAGAATCTATAATTATTTTCTCAAGGCAAGCACATATTGAGGCGATTATTTTAGATAAACAGGGGTTGTTCTACAGTTGCTCATTTTTCATGCTTGTAAATGTATAGATGTTCGTGATGATCAGAAATAAACATGACATTCAAATAAATCTAAACTTGAACCCTTCCTAAAATCTTTTCTTTTTCCTCCATCTTTGGAATTTTTTTTTTTTTCCTGATGAAGAGCAACCAGGGTGGGAGGAGGAACATTCACCAGTTCTGAAGCTGCCTTATTCATCACATCTGGAAGCAGTTTACTGTATGTAGCTCTCTTACTCCAACAGGCCAAAATCTGGATTCTGTACAGCTCCATAATCGCAGAGAAAGGAAGGGAAAAAATAATATCCGAGTAAACCACAGAAGATCTTTTTAAAAACAATTCTGCATCAGACTAGTTTTGAAGAAACTAAAAAGGACCTTGAAGTGTCTTGCATGTAGGATTTCAGTGGGGATCCCATGAGAAAAGCGTTTCTGACATGAATGTTTATCGCACTGAATCGGCCGGCTACCCACAGCAGCTGCTTGCTTGAAGTTATTTTTCTGGAGAAAGGATTCACAATTGCTTTGCTGCTGCCTTTGAAAGGTAAAACCTTGAATTCTGCTGGATGCAGGATATTCACAATTTTCTTTTCACCTCTCCTTTATTTTATTATGTGATCTTACTATTGTGTCTAGAGTTTGCCAGCCTTTAGAAAAAAGGCCCAAATATTGAAATGTCGGCAGAGTACTGAGCTGATAAGATCTCATTTTCAAAAATGAAACTCAACTTTTGTTCTTACAATTTTTTCATTAATTAAATAAAACCAGACACTAGCAAATTCTGGGTATAGATATGATTATTATCACTTTACAGAAATTTTTGCATTACATTTCCATGCTTGAAAAGGGAAAACATGTGTCCTATGTGTACCAGAAAAGATAGAAAGAAATTAATTATTTGTGTGAAATGGAGATATTAAAAGATGACTGTGTTTGTTATATTGAGAACTAGTCTTTAAATGTAAGATCTCCACACATGTCATTTAATATTACGTCTTAGGTCATTACAATTATGATGAAAAAGTATCTAATCATTACTACTTTGTTGACAATATGGAATTATAAAAGTGTTTCCGTTAAAATCATCCATTATGATAATGGACTGCATTTTCATAGTTCTCATGATTTTCTTGCTAGCATTATGGGAAATAATGTCACATAGTTTATCCTTTCTTTAATTTACTAACAACTCTTCAGTATAATGCTAGGTAGAATGTTGAAATCTGTTTAAATACAAACGTAGGTTATTTTTCCTCACATGTGAGGGAGAGTAGTAGAAACTGTAGACAAAGCTAAAATTTGCTATTTGTTTCATAGTTGCCGGGATAGTATAAAGCAGTGTTTCTCAACCTTAGCAACTTTAAGATGTGCATGCTAGCTGGGGAATTCTGGGAGTTGAATTCCACACATCCTAAATTTGTCAAGGTTGAGAAACACTAGTATAAAGAATGGTGAGAGACAGTTCTTCATTTATGTAGATGCACATGTAGGTACAGTAGATAGCAGATTAAGTATACACACTTGCTTCCCATTGGTCAATTTTTGAAGAGACAGAAACAAAAGAAAAGAGCAAAAATTGTTGAATAAATGATGACGGAATGCAGTAAGAGAGAATCTTTGCATCCCTTCAAGCTTTGTTTACTCATTTCAGGTCCAAATATATTGAACCTGGACCTCTAGAGGTCTCAGTAAGATAGACTTGACATTTTTTGTTGTGTTTTAACTTCCACATTTCTTTCTCTTGTCTCATCCACAGGTTGCAACCAAATGAAAGGGCCATATGGCTTTCTTACGAAAAAGTAAGACTTCTTCAGAAAAAAAAATAGTGTAATTCAGGGGCCCATAACTTTCTGAGCTCTTAGGGACTTTTGGAATTTTGCAAACATGTTATGAGCACTCTTGTAAAATGGCTGTGGGAAGGGGGCTTTCCAACTCACAAAATGGCTTCCACTGAGGGCAAAGCCAGTTACAAAATACAGATGTATTTGGTCTAGTGGTTAAGGCACCAGGCTAGAAACCAGGAGACTGTGAGTTCTAGTCCCGCCTTAGGCATGAAAGCTGGCTGGGTGACTCTGGGCCAGTAACTCTCTCTCAGACCAACTCAAGGTGGTTGTTATGGAGAAAATAGGAGGAGGAAGTATTAGGTATGTCTGCCACCTTAAATTACTTATAAAAATAATAAAGTCAAGATAAAAACAAATAAAAAAAGATTATCTTCTCTAGCCACCCCCCATCCCCTCCATAAAATGCTCTGTACTGCATTTCTGTACCTTTGTACTGGGAAGGAAATGGACTTACACGAAAACACTGGAGTGCCCAATCTTTCATTTTTATTTTCTAAGAAAGGTAATGCGGATCATTGGAGCCAGAGGCATTTTTGGAAATAAAAATGATGCTGTATGCACTATGTTGGGGATCCTTAGGTTCCATGTTTAAATGAAGTCTTCAGTGGGAGCCAATGCTTCCATGTGAATTGGTAAAAAATGAGTAGTTCCAATTTCACATATATAATTGCTGAAATTGTCTAAGTCTAATGTTATATGACAAAGACCAAAGATCAGATGCTCTTAGATGTCTTTCCATTACTATTCTGAAGCTTTTGGAGGCACCTGCTTGATCACCTGTAAGAAGCTTCTGCCTTCTTCTAGGTGATCAAACCTTAGCATTTCATTTCTGAGCTTGTCAGATTAGTATGCCTCTTGTTGCCTTTTGGGCTGTTAAAAAAAACACCTGAATATCAGAATTTCCAAGGCAAAATCATCAGCATGTGAGGATGTTGGCAGGGGTAGGAGATAAGAAACATGTCTACTTAGATTTTTTTTCTCTGGAATACATTGCCAGAGAATTGCCTGAATAATCCAGGAAGAAGGTGTTGGAGAATTGAATTCAGCAAGAGCTGAAGGAGGTACTCCTGAAGATAAGCAGAGTGCTGAAAGTATACTAAGTAATTAATCAGCAGAGCATCCCACTGAAAAAAGATAAATATTCATAATCTAGTTACCTTGGATGCAGAAAATGGCCATAGCTATAATGAACACTAATATATATTCATATTTGAAGTAGATTTATTAGGAAATACAAAGATAGAAATGCCTAACTTTTATCTAAACTACATTTTTGAGAGAGAAAAGCACAAGAAAGATAGAAACAATAAGTGCCTTTAAACATAGAGACCAATTTAACTGACAATAGGCCAGATGAGAAACAAAAACAGAGACTAAATGTGAAGATTCTTCCCCTTATCCATCTCTCACCATTGGCCCTTGTTGTCAGAATAGCCACATAGGTGCAAAGAGATGATGCAACCTTGAACTTTCCCATTCACATGTTCTTGATGTCTGGTAATTGCTTTTCTGATGTAGAGTAAGATATCATTTTAAAATTCTGTATGGAAGTAAACCTGTTTGTAAGCCATAGGCACCTTGTGGAGTCCTTGGTACTCTCTGAGCTTGGTTATTTGTTTGCAGACATTTCATAACCCAACTAGGTAACATCATCAGTGCTAATGAGTGTGGGGTTCACTCTCTGTTTATATATAGTAGCTTGCCCTCACAGTGTTGGTTGGGGTATGGTTTTCTCCTTGGTAGTTCCTTGATTAGGGTATTGTTTTCTGCTTGACTGTTTGTCTGGTGTTAATCCCTGCTTATCTGGATATAGGCTGGTGTAGAGGATGTGTTTTTGTTTCCTTCTTAGCTTTTTTATTGTCTCTTTTGAATGGTGTGTAAATGTGATTTATCTCTATGCACCTGTTGATAGTTGATTTGTCTGAATGCCAAGCTTCCAGGAATTCCCTAGCGTTTTTGGTTTTAGCTCGGTCCAGGATGCTCGCATAGTTGAAACTATGGTTGAGTGTGTCCATGTGTTGTGAGATTAAGGAGTTTTCATCATGTCTTCTGTTTTTGGTTTTACCTCGGTCCAGGATGCTCGCATAGTTGAAACTATGGTTGAGTGTGTCCATGTGTTGTGAGATTAAGGAGTTTTCATCATGTCTTCTGACTGCTAGTTGGTGTTCATGGATGTTCATGGATTTCATAGTTTGTGTGTTGGTTGTGCTTTAGTGGGTTGAGTATCAATTTCAGGTCAGTTAGAGATTAATTGAAATATGAAGTATTTGCACACAAGTGCACAAAACAAATCCTGCAGTTAAGCTGCAATCCTAATTGCATTTATTAGTCAGCCACTGGGACATACTACCGAAGAATATTTGTACTGCAAATTGTGTATATATGATTGATTGAACAGCTTTCTTTCTGTTTCAGTTAATCAGATCCTACTATTCCTTCTTGTTTTGACTCTCTGTGTTATTCTGTATAATAAAGTTCAAAAGCTGCCATCTGCTCTTCTGAATAATGAATCCAGTAAGTAACTATTTTTTCTTTTTTATGTTACAAAGACTGAATATACTTTGTTGGTAGGATTATAATTCATATTAAATTAATTTTTCAAGCTAAGACAGAAGGGGCCTTGTGATTCATGCTGCTTTGGCTTTCTTTCTTTTAGTAATGCCTCTGAATATTTTGTACATCTTGGTGGCCACTGACTCTGCAGACTGAGAATTATGGCACATATAGAGCCTACATAGAATGTGAAGGATGTGTGTTTATTTTATGGTTTTTATATTTATAAGGTGCACTGGGGATGGCATTTAATTTCATTGTACAAGGTACAATGACAATAAAGTTTACTGTTACTACTACTACAACTGGTTGAGGAAGGCTGGCATTAGAAAAGGCTGCTGAACAAACCTGTGTGTGTGTGGGTGGCCAGTGACAGAAGTAACATGGAACCAGGAACAGATGCACGAGCTTGATTAAGAAATTCATGGCAATTTAGTATAATTAACAGAGACTTAGAAGTACAAATCACATTAACTTTCAACAATACCCTCCTGAGTCCTCATGTCTTTTAGAGGCTTTTGTAAAATGCTTATTGCTTAATGCAACAGAACTAAATAAATTATGTGTGATAATACATGTTTCTTCTACTGCCGTTGCTACTATCACTGCTATTACTGTACTTCTACTACTAGTTGATTTGGAGAGCACGGAAGAGATGGAAGAAGAAATTCCTGTTGTGATATGCGCTGCTGCAGGCAGAATAGGCGCAGCAGTGGCTGCAATCAACAGCATTTATACCAACACGGATTCGAATGTCTTGTTCTACATAGTTGGGCTAAAGAGCATCATTCCACATATCAGGTGAAATCATACAGTGTAGTAATTTAAGCAAGGGTGCAATCCTTTATCAGTGGAAGTTCATGACCTTGATCAAATTTGAGATACTAATTTATTTAATTGCAATAAGCACAGTGCACTGGGCCCATTATCAGCCCATTATAATAGAACAGTGTTTCTTAACCTTGGTGACTTTAAGATGTGTGGATTTCAACTCCCAGAATTCCCCAGCCAGCCATGCTGGCTGGAGAATTCCGGGAGTTGAAGTCCACGCATCTTAAAGTTGCCAAGGTTGAGAAACACTGTAACAGACTATAATAAGGATGAGACAACATAAAACCAAACAGCAAAATTATTAAGGTAAAAATCTTCACCAGGTATAATAATGCCAATAAATATAGCACAACAATGTAACAATAGAATTATAACGTTCTAAAACACTTTAAACATATACATATTAAAACGTTGGGGGAAATAACAGTATTTTCATCTAGCAGCAAAAAAGTTATAACACTGAGAGATCTTGGTAGCTGGTAACACATAAATATAATAAAATAAATAATATAGCAGGAGTTGATCTGTTGTGATGAACCAGTGTCAGAATAGTGGTAAGTGGGCAGAAGTGTAGGTCTGGTGCGGGTGGGCCAGGGGAGGATACAGATTGATTGGGGGGAAAGGATAATGCGGGACTTTCTTAAGAATGCTTCCAGACAGAGGCCCTCTAGGGCTAACAAATCAAAATACATTACAGTATGCAGTTCTCTGTCCGTTATAGATCTTTTTTCTGCAAATAAAAACTGGGAAAAATGATGGGAACAAACAGTAGGATTATAAAAAGAGCATTTGTAAAATTCTGTAAAGCCTTATCTGGAAACAGTGAAAGGGGGCTTTTAGATAAGGCTTTGTTGTGTAATTGCTCTTACAGAATTTTACCAATTGTGTCTTCAATTGGTAACCATCCCTGTAAGTCAGTGTTGTCCAAACTTGGCCACTTTAAGATGAGTGGACTTCAACTCCCAGAATTCCCCAGCCAG